AGCTGGAGTCGGTGCCCTGCCGTGTGTGTGCCGCGGGTCGCGGTGTGCAGCAGCCGGCCGTACGCAGGACTCTGCTCTTGTTTCAAGGACAGTTCAGGCCAGTCGCTGCTGCTGAGTGCGTGAAAGCTCCGCGTGCCCCCGACGAGCGTGGTCGACCCCGAGAGTGAGCACTCCTTGCCTGGGAAGTCCCAGAGTCCTGTGTCTGTCGCTCTGGTTGTGTGCCCAGCTGTACCACAGAACCGGCCCGAGAGTGGTTTTTCCTCCTCTTGTCCTCTGCTCGTGGGAACAGTGGACAGCTGTCCTGTGTGGTGTTTTTTAAACACTGAGGGACGTAGCGTCTCCAACAAGGACGCCGTAGGCGTGTCGGCGTGAATCTGGCTCACAGGGCTCCTTCCCAGAGAGCAGCACACGTTTTCTGCCTCTACGTGAAACACCCTTCAAGTTTCAAGTGACCTGGAGCTCAGAGGGCTGTCAAGCTCAAGGCTCGTTAGTAAGTCCATGTCCTGACGGCCGTCGCAGCTCTCTCCCAGCGATGCCCAGAGACAGACTGAACCAGCTAATTAAGCGTTCTGACGGGAATGCTTCTTTCCTTCCCCAGTAATCAGACCATCTCAAGGTTAACAACAAACCCAGGTGCTCAAACGTCCTCGAGTGCTGGCCCCGACGGGAGCCTGCCTCTCCTGGGGCTTCGCACAAGCCTCTGGAGGAGCGTCCTCCAGGTTCCCGAGGCTCCTGAGCAGGCTCGTCGCGTCTTAATGCTGAGGCCTTGTCGTGACTTTAAGTTCGCCTTTTCTTTGCAAACCGGAGCATTCTTGCCCTGCCGGACCCCAGTTAGGTTTGAGAGATGGGCGTGTGGCCTCGCCACGAGCCTGGCTGCGAGGACGGCTCTGGGAAGCCCACCGGCGTGTCTCCGCGCGGTCAGTGTCTGCTTCTCCTCTTCTAGGGCAGGCACCCACGGCAGTAAGTGAAAGGCCTCTTTCTCCTCATCCAATCAGGATCACAAAGACCCCAGCTCGCAGAGACCACGACGTGAACATCGTGTTGGAAGAACCCAGGAATGCCAAGTGAGTGGCGCTGAGACCTGCGTCAGACCCGCGTCCGGGTGCTGGCTTGCCCCTGGGGAGCTCTGGGAAGGCCCCGGGAAGTAGCGTGCTCGTGGGGCGGGCAGGCCTCCGAGGGCAGCGCCACTGTCCCGGCTTATCTCTGTGACAGACCTGCTTCGAGCGCGCACTCTGGCCTCCAGCGCAGGGGCTCCCGCCATAGGCAGGGCAAGCAGGGCGCGGTGGGGGGTGCTGGCTCTGTTCAGGTGGGAGGGAGATCTTCGCCCGTCCACGCGGCAGGTGGAGGGAACCACTCAGCCTTGCTACGGTGCGCTGGACACTTTCCTGACCGCCTTCTTCCCTCAGTTCCCTGGACGAAAGCGTGGGGACGGATGAGAGGTCTGAGAAGAGCAGGGCCCCCCTTGCGCCCCTCCCGGAAGAGTGTCTGCAGAAGGTTGGCCGGACCGCGCTGCACGTCCCCCCAGGCCTGCGGCACAGCATTGGCGACTACTGTAGCCGCTTCGAGCGGTACCTCCGCCTGGTCGCGCACGAGGCTGTGGGCGCCTTCAACCCGTGGTTGTTGGCCGAGAGGTCAGTACGATGTCGATGTCGTGGCTGCGCGGGGGGTCAGGCGCCGAGCGGGAGTGCCCAGAAGGCTGGCAGAGGGACAGGCCGGCATGTGGGCTCCCTAGGCGGACTTTCTCTGCCACCTGCCTTCTCAGGCAGAGGAGCTGGCGAAGCAGGTGCCTGTCGCTGTGTCAGGAGCGCCGGGCGGCCTCCCTGTCGGGTCCGTGACCGGAGCCAGCTGGGCCGGCGTCTCCTGAGAGCGGTGGCTGCCTGGGGTCCCCCTGCTACTGGTACTTGGAGAAGGAGTGTAAACCATGCGTTGAAAGGCACGTGTAACTTTGCTCCTTTGAACTATGGCGCACGTGGGGATCCTGGCTGGCACCTGACGCAGCCCTGCAGATGGCTGCCGTCCCTGTCTCTGAATGGGTGCCGGGCTGTGGCCGGCCCTTCCTCTGGCCACTGCGGGCCGGTGCCAAGAAATCCTTCCCACCACGCCCTGCACGCCTGCCCTGCATGCTCGCCCCGCACGCCCATTCGCCCGCACAGTCAGACGCTCCCCTCACGATGGGTCTCTGGCCTCCATGCCCCACTTGCCCCCCGAGACCCTCTTTCCTTCCCCCCGCCAAATGGGCCTGACTGCTTTCCGGATCTGCGGGGTGGCTCTTGTCTGGGGCCGTCCCTCTCTCGGCACCTGTGCGAGCAGCCCCCACCCCACCTCCCCGGGGGTCTCCTCTCTGGTTTGCCGAGCACGCGCTGCCCCATGCAGGGAGGCCAGGCTGACCCTCCGCGTCTGTGCCCCTTTTCATGCCGTTTGCCCCGCAGACTCGCGGCTGCTGCATTTCTATCACGGGTGTCTTGGTTCCGAGCTCGCAGCTTCCTTCCCTTGCAGGGGTGCAAGGGGCCCCACCTGCACACTTGGCCCTCCCCTCCAACCACCTCCACCCGGGGCGGCCTTTGTGCTCAGTGGGTCCATTGGTGGGCCTCTCCCCTCTGACCCTGGGTTTCTCCCTTCTTCACGCGGCCCCTTAGGGTTCCAATACCTGCCCTTTGCCCTCTCCAGTCTCGGGCGTTTCTCCTGCACTAACGTTGTGTGCGGTCTCCTGCCAAGGTCTATGATCCATTTCCTTGTCTTGCTCTGAAGTGGGACCAGGATGGTGGCTCATGTCCATCCCCTGCATTGCCCCCGAGCCTTCCCTTTCCCGTGCCCTCCGGGCCTCTCGATTATTCTGCGTGCGCTGCGTGTTTGTTTTCTGGGGAGGAGGACGGGGAAGCCTGCTGGCCTCGTGTGTTCCCTCGCACGTACAGTGGGACGCTCCCTCCTCCCAGACTTGCCTGGGTCGGTTAGGCTGATGGGCCTGCAGCACATCTGGAACGAGCTGAGGAGGACAGACCGTCCGTCGAGCGGTCTTCCCATGACCCGTGATGCCTTTCGTCTGCCGTCCCGCTCCAGGCTGGAGGAGTCCGAGGGTTGGGGGCAGCGGCCCTACTGTGGGGCTTCCCGCTGGGTTGTGCAGGGACCGCACATGCACGTCCCAGCTCCGAGGGCTCCCGCTCCGGTCTTGTTCTCTTGCGGGCTTCCGGAGCTGAGGGTTGTGTCCACCACATCCTGGAGTAGCCGCTGGGGTGAAGGGAGTGAGCTCTGCTTTACTCGTGCTTTACACGCCTCTGCTGCCCGCCCGAGAACAGCACCGTTCCCACGTGGGAAAGGAGCCGACGGCAGCAGCCGGGGCGGTGTCGCGCTCGGCGGGAACAGACTCACGGGGTCCCGGAGACCTGTGGCCGGAGCGGGCAGGGGGAGCCGCGAACTTACCCGTCCTTCATGAATCCCTGTCGTGCTCCATGTCACCCGAAGGCTGTGTGAAGCCTTAGATGACGGCCAGCGGGGACGAGCAGGAGCATCGGGGGCTGTCGAGCCGCAGACCAGCGGCAGGAGACCCAGCCGGCGGGAGCGCCATGGAGGCCAGGGGTGAGGGGAGCCGGGCACCGGCGGGCGGAGGCATGGGTGCGGGTGAGTGGGAGGGGTGGGTGGACTTTGAGCAGGGCTCAAGCGGGACCAACCAGGATGCGTGTCCTCGGAAGTGAAGAACGCGGACACACGGGGACACAAGCTTGGGACACTGAAAGAGGAGCTCCTGAGGAGGAGAAGTGAGTTCTCAGAAATTACGACGGCCAGAGTCACCGGAGAGTTCAGGAGCCAAGCCAGGCCCCCCGAGGCGGGCAGCAGAGTGAGCAGACAGCAGGAGAGACAGGACTTCGCACATCTGCCGCTGGTTCTAGGAGTCACGAGTCTAGGAGATGTCCCGGAGCTGTGGGTTCAGCAGTTGGACCGTGGGTCGCGCTCTGGAGGCGGGGACGTCTGAGGCCGGTGTGCGAGCTGTCTGCTCTCTGGGGAGATGGCAGCTGGCCCCGGGGCCCCTTCCTGCAGGGCCTGAGCGCCCGTCCGCCCCCTGGGGCTGAGGCTTTGACAGGCTTCTGTTGTGGGGACATGGAGATTCAGGCCATGGCGGCAGCCTCTGGCAGTGGGAGCCGCGTCCGTGAGAACAGGGGAGGGGGTGTGGGAGATGCCCCGGAGGCCGCCCGCCCGCGGCGAGTGGGTACGCGAGGAGCAACGGCACAGACCAGGCGGAACACGCCTCGGCCGTCATTGCAGGAAGCCACGTGGGTGTCCTGTGTGGGGGTCAGGCAACAGACGGTCCCGGGGAGTCCAGCAGACCCCTTCAAGAACCCGACAGGAGAACAGCATGTCATTTTCAGCTCGACTCTGCTAGAAGATGTCCGAGCGTCCCGCAAGGTCTCTCAAGCTCAGAGCTCGGCGAAGTCGTTGAACGAGACGGCAGAGTGAAGGTGCCATCTGGAAATCTGCCGTCACACGCAGTGCCCGGAAACCCGGTGGCCGGGCACTGGTCCTCAGTGAGCTCCTGGGGGCGTGGGGCACCAAAACAGCGTGGGCATCAAGGAAAGCAAGACAGGACTTAGGAAGTGAGACCCCGGCGCGGGAAGCCATCACACGAGGGGAACAATTGAGTGGGTGTGGGGAGCACCCGCCCCGGTGGAGGGAGGATGGAGGGCCACGGAGGGTCGGTGGGAAGGTGGAGACAGGAAGGAAATGGGCTGTTAACCCAGGGCACCGGGGCACCTTTGCATCTGTCTCGTAGTTTGGGGTGGGCGAGGGCCAGGAATGTCAAGAGCATAGTGGGTGATTCTGGTCGTGGTGGCCCTGGAATCTGGACCACCTCCCGCTCAGGACAGATGGAGCCTCCACAAGCCACGAGCTGATGGTCAGCCCGGGGAGCACGGGGGCCTTTTGAGGACCTTTGGAGACGGAGCCCGGGGGTGGGAGCCCAGGATGTGCCGCGGCAGCCCAGGATGTGCCGCGGCAGCCTGGAAACGCTCTTCGCAGGGACTGGGACCCTGTGGGCAGCGCTCCGGGCGTCAGGACGGGGCTGGGAGTGCTGTCCACACTACTGGAGCCTCAGACCGTGAGTTCCAGAAGGTCTACAAGCCCCGAACACGGAAAGTGAGAAGAAATCCACGCGTAGGCGCATGTCGCAGTTTTCTTGAAAAATAACAGGAAATGTGGAAATCACTCGGAGGAGGGCAGAGCGGGAAGCAGAGCGCTAGAGGCTGGGGCGTGCGGCGTCCCATTAGGGCAGAGGGGAGAGGGCCGCCACTCAGGCACGGGTGCGTCGGGGAGGTGAGGGGTTCCAATGAGCAAAGTGAGGACGCTTATCACCGGTCGCTTCGCCATGGGAAATGGCAAATGCGCATTTCTGGGGCAGATCAGGAGCAGGGCCAGAGGAGAGGTGAGCGCGGGTGCGTGCGGCGGTGGGTGTCTGTGGGCATGATGACGCCCGCCCACGTCATGGCAGGACGAGCGTGACGGCTGCTCCAGAGCCTCTGGGAGCCACCGGGGAGACGGTGAGAATGTCCCCGGTCAGGCTTAGCATTTGGGCACGTGGGAGCAGTGTGTGCAATGTCCACGGGAGCAGCGAGGAAAAAATACCACAGATCCCCATGGAGTGGAGCAGGAGAGGGGAGGGAGCCGGCAGATGAAGAGCAAGTACCCGCTTTGCTGGCAGCAAGGGGCTCTGACGCGTCGGGGTTGGGGTTGCGCTGAGTGGAGAAGACCACATGCATTGGGGGAGGACGGTTGGAGCCACAGAAGCTCCACACGTCCTGGTGGGGGTGGCCATGTGCTGTGGCTTGGCTGGGGGGACCCACATTCGTGTTTCTCACCTGTCCCCCCAAACCCCCAGCTTGGAATGTGCAGAAACTTGAACCTCCCGGTATTTCCCACCAGTAACACGATCTAGGGAAAGGGGCAGACAGCATTCGGTCCGAGCAGCTTGGACACGCCTGTGTGCCCTCAGTGAAGCCCGGAGAGCCGTGGCCGCACGTGTTTCTGCTTGGTGGGCGTCTGGCGCGGACTCAGGAGGGCCGATCAGATTAGTGCGTGTGTCTGCGCGCCACACGGGGAGGCCGGAAATGGGATGGACGTGGCAGGTGTCCGTGTGTCCATCTGGCCCATCTGCTGAGAGAGCCTCCATGCCGCGGCCCCAGGAGCACAGAACACCCAGCTCCTGAGCGCCGTTCTCCCCAAAATGTGCCCGAGCCCCTCGGGGAAATGGCCGGGTCTGGGTGCGGGACTCAGAGTGGGCACGACAGCCGAACTGTCCCCCTGAGCCAGGAAGGAGGGTCAGAAGACCAGGGGGCAGTTGGGGGGACCTAGGAGCAGCTGGGGGGTGGGCGCCTGTGGCTGTGTGGGGCACGGATATCAGAGGGGCAGTATGTGCACAAATGCCTGGGATCGGTTACAGACGGGGCCAGTCAGGGCCTGCGAGGCCCCGCTGCTGGGAATGAAGGAGGGAAGGAGGGATGAGCACGCAAGTCTGTCTGGGAGGGGGAGCCCCCCTGCAGTGATCCGACAGTGGCCGGTCCTGCACCTGTGCCCGAGTCCCACGGCGAGGCACCCCTGCCGGGGGGGACTGGCATGGCCAGGGAGCTGGCCGCGTCCCCGCAGCACCCCAGGAAGCCACGTGGGATGGCTGGATGCACTGAGGGACACGGTGTCCCTTCTGTGGCCTTGGTTCCATGGGTGTGTGACTCGAGGGGCCCCGAGGAAACATCAGACAGGCCTGGACTGGGGGACATTCCACGAATAAAGGCCTTGATCTTTTGGAGAATGTCCAGCTTATGAGAGAGAGGTTGGGGTCGGCCGCAGACTTGCGGGGGAGCTGGAGAGGCAGCGGGCAGCGGCTACAGCGCTGGCCTGGGTTGGGTCCTGCCCCAGAGTAGACGCTGTGTGGAACCTGGTGGCCGTGAGCCCGTGTCCTGTCAGTGGCAGTGTGGGGGTGACTGTCCCAGAGGGGGTACCCGGGGGGCGGGGGCGGGCAGTGGTGGGGCATCCGTGTGGATACCAGGCCCCGCCCCAGCCTGGTGTGGGGTACAGGCAAGCAGGGCCGCCTGCTGGGTGAGTCCCGGCTCCCGTGGCCGTGCTCATGGCCGTGCCCTACAGTTGTGTTGTCTGTCTTCAGCTTCTCCGACGAGCTAGTGGATGAGGCTCTGGGGGCTGTGGCCGCGGAGCTGGAGGATGCGTGCGAAGACTACGCGGAAGCCGTGTTCACCTCGGAGTTCCTGGAGGCTGCGACCTGAGGGCTCCATCTGCAGTGGACCTCCTCCCTGGGGTGCACGGGAGCCCCTGAGCCCGGCTGCCCTTCTGTGCCTCCTGGGTGCCTCCCACGGCGGGGGACCCCCTTTCCATCCTCTCGTGGTCATGGTGATGGCTCTGGTGGTTGATGACGGAGGGCAAGGTGTTTCTCAGTGCCCAGATATTGTGAATTACAATATAATAGTTTCTCAATGTGTAGTTTCCCTATTGAAATCCCATGTTTGTTTTGCCACTGAGTCTGGTGACAGGAGCGTCGGGAAAGGTGCTGGCAGGTGTATTTCCCGAGGGTCCACGTTGCTGCCCAGCCGCCTGCGCCCGTGGCTCCTGTGCTCCCATCATCCCGAGCTCGCTTCTGTCGGTCCCCGCGACGCCACGCCATGCAGACGGAGCCCACCAGCCCTCCGTGTCCTGCCAGCCGGTTCTCACCCTGGCAGTCCTCTGCACCGTGGTCCGCAGCCTTGTCTCGCCCTGGCGGCCATGTTCTGATGTCCAGATTATGTCAGCACGCAGGGGCCATCGGAGGCCGTCGGGAGGGTCCCGGGCTGGCATCCCTGTTCTCTGGACCAGCATATTCCACGCCTGTGGACCTACAGAGGACCGGGCGGGAGGAGAGGACTGGGCCAGAGCAGAGGACCTGCCTGGATGCGGGAAGCCTGGCGGGTCCCCCGGGAGAGGAAGACACCCGAGAGCCACAGCAGTTTCGTCTCGTCCCCTCCAAGCTGTGTTTTACCGAGAAGTGCCTCTGGCTTTTCAGAAACAAAAGGAATGTGCGTGAAAATAAGGCCACTTCCTGGAAGAAGGTTTTCTCCGCCGGCTGGCCTGGGCTCTGCTCCGCCGTGGATGATGTGACTCCTTAGGACGCAGTGGGTGTCACAGCTGGACTTTCTCCAGTGCAAGCGTGTTTGAGGCGACCGCGGGAGCGGCTAGGCCACACCGCCGCGCGCACACCTGGGCCGGGGTGGTGCTGGCCTTCTGCTCGATTACGCGTGGCCTCGGGACCAAGAAGGCTCTGGGGCCAAAGGTCGTCCCCGTGCGGGGGCACGCGTGTGCGCCCACGTCAGCAGGCGGGGGCCTCAGTGGCTCGAACTCGTCTGTGGGGCAGTTTGTACTGTGCTGATTTTTAAATAAACTCAGGATTTTCCAGTACGTGCGTGTCTGTCTGAAATGGGCCATGCTCCCTCTCGCCCACGGCAGATGCCGCCAACCGACCGCGTCTCATGGGGCGCAGGGCCGTGGAAAGGAACGGTAGTGACGCGAAGGTTGGACATACGCTCTGTACGTCCTGCCCGTGTACCTGCCCCTGGTCTGTTTGTTCCCGCACGCCTGCCTCCCGTGTGCTGGGCGCTCCGTGCATCCTGAACTCCTGCGTGGAGGGTGGCACCGCTCTTCCGGGACGGGCTCGTACGGGGGCGGGGGGGCCTAGCCCATCTCCTTGGTGGCCCGACGCAGGGTGCCACGTCCGAGGCGCTGCTGCCCTGGGAATGCCGGGTGGTCGGGGAAGTGCTGCGTGCCGCGACCGACGGGACCCTCCTCCTCCCTCTGCCGGCGGCACTGGGGCCCCAGAGGGAAGGGGATGGGGGTCTTCTTCGTCCCCGCCTGCGAGGGGCCGAGGAGGAGGAAGGGTCTCAGGGAAGCCCTCAGGGCCAGTGGGACAGGAAGGGCCTTGGGACAGGGGCAGTGAATTTCCAGCCTTTCTGGCAGCAGGAAGGCAGTGAGTGGCAGGTGGGTCCCCTTGCCGGGGCTGGCCTGCTCATGGCGGACGTGGGATCCGGTTAGAGCTGGGCTGTGGGGCTTCCTCCAGACCTCAGGAGTGTGACCAAGCGTCCTCGGTGAGGGTCCCGGGAGTCCCCTGTGGGGACCCGAGTGAGCCCTGGTCTCCTCCCACCCCCAGCCCACCCGCCCCCTGCCCCTCCAGGCACTCCAGGCCCACCCAGGGACTTGCCCTTCTCTCCTCCTCCCTGCAGCCCCTCCCATACTGCCTGGCTCTTCCCTTGGCCTTGGCAGGGGCTGGGCCGCAGATCCATGGGTGGGCCTCAGAAGCCCCTGCCCCATTGGGTGGGACCCTCAGGCCCAGAGGTCTGGGTCCCCCTTCCTGGCCCCTTGAAGAAGGCAGAAGTCGAAAAGGGCCCCCTGAGGCTGGGAAGGGGAAGAAGGCGGTCCTCAACCTGCCTCCCCGCCGCCCCACCCCGCTGAGTGTCTCTCTCTCCACCTGGGGACCGGCCGGCTCGGAGTGGGAGGCCAAGAGTTGAGGTCCCGTGGGGCCTCCGTGCCTCAGTTTCCCAGTCTGTGACACCGGTTACTGGAGGATTGGGGGAAGTGAGCCATGCAAACGTCTCGTCGTGGGGCTGGTCTCCTGGCCTCTGTCCCCAGGGGCTCTCCCTGCCTGTGATCCCAAGGCCAGCACGGGGTGGTTCCAACCGCTGCAGATGGACGTCCCTCGGGGCCCCTGGACGCTGTTTCCGCGAGCCGGCAGGCCTTCCCGTGCTAGCCACATCCTCGGGGCAGGAGAGGAAATACCGCCAGTCCCAATGTGTGCGGGAGGCTTCAGGGCCGCGGAACCAGGGAGAGGCCTGCTGGGGTCTTACGGCACTGCGGCAGTGTGTTCTGTGTCCTGTGACTGACTGTCGAGTAGACGACGCGGGGACGGTCTACAGACCGTAGCAGACATCACCTATGAACAGAGCCTCCATCATCGCTGATGGTGGTCCTGCCCTGCTCTGGGCACCCCGCTCCGTCCTGGGCCTCCCGACAGGCCCCGCCCTGTCCCCGCCCCCCCTATTAGGGCTGGACCCAGCAGCCACCCACGACAGCAGCCACTGTCCGCTACTGAGTGCCCACTGCGCTCTGGGTGCCTGGGGGCTCACGCCCAACACTGAAGCAGAGGCTGTGGACCCCTTCATGGGTGGGATGGGGACTGGGCAGCCGAAGGTGACCGTCTGCGGTGCATGCAGTGGTCCACGGGGCCCTGGTGTCACCGGAACGGGCACCCCGTGGCCTTGCCCCCTGCGCCGGGCTGCAACCCCACCGTGGCCCCATGGCCTCAGCTGCACCCCGAGCCCTGCCCTGGTTTCTTTCTGAAAGCTTCCTTTCCACTTGGGGCGGCTCCCCGGTCTGTAACCAGCCTGTCCTGACCTAACCCTGGGCTCTGGGCAGCCAGGTCTCAGCCACGGGCCCCCGCAGCCACATGGACGGACCAGGGGAAAGGGGCATCGAGGCCCTGCTGCCTGAGCTGCGGGACCAGCTGGTGGCCGGGGCAGACCTGCCCGTGGACGCCTCCAAAGCCCCATGTCTCCCGAGACCGGGCAGTTCCTGCAAACTCCCTGCCGGCCACAGCGACCCAGGGATGGCACAGGCCGTCCCTCCCTGAGGCCTGAGCACAAAGGCGAGAGAGGAGAACGGGCTGTGGTGGGGGCTGAGGGGCTGATTCTTCTTTCCTGAGCCTGGGCTGCAATTTTGGTGGTCTTCACGGAGGAGGCAGCCTTGGAACAAGACCTTGACAGATGGGTGGGGCTGCGGTGAGGGAAGGAGAGGGCAACGTGGCAAGGCCCGCCGTGGACACGTGCACAGGCCATGTGGTGCAGGTGGTGTGGTTAGTGTGGGTGACGGAGTGGGAGGACCCCACCCCCATGGTCCCCTCGGCACCGGCACGGCCCCAGACACACTATTCCCTGGCCACGTCCGCCCTCCCTGGGAAGTGTGATCTGCCCCAGACTCAGCCCTGCTCCGGCATCCAGGTCTTCCCTCCGTGTCTGCGCGGGGAGGCCCTGCCGCATGCCGGCCACCCCCGGTCCATGCTCACGAAAGCCGGCAGGTGACACGTGTGCGAGGGATGCAGGGGTGGGTCAGGATCGTGGCTCCAGCAAGGACCAGGGCCCAGAGGGGACCGTGAGGCTCACGGGACGGTGCATCTTGAGGCTGAGGCTGCGGTAGGCTGAGGGCCCTGTGGGCACGGTCTTGGAGGCCAGCTCCGTCCACGGCGGCCTCCTGGCCCTGTCAGCTCCCGGTGACGACTGTGTACCTGCTCCATGCGACAGGAGATGTGCAGAGCCTCCTGGGGGTCAGAAGGAAAACACGTACACACACGCACACACGTGTACACACGCCACATGCACACGCAGTGCACACGTGCACACACACGCACGCACACATATGCACGGGGCTCCAGTTTCAGCGGCTCACAATCCGTGGACCCAGGCAGGCAGGAAGCCCGGTGAGGGAAGGCCCCTCCCCATAGCGCTCCCCGGCCTATTGGCCGAGCAGGACCCCACGGGGGGCTTGCTCTCATCTTCCTCCAGGGTGGATGGAAGAAGGTCTGCTGCCCCCTTTCCTGCAGAGCAGGGGCGGGTCTCACCGGGGTCACTGGGGTCACCAGGGTCAGCGGCTCTGCACCCAGGGTCCCAGGTCTGGTGCGCACCTGCTTCCCCCGACCCCGCGGATGGTGCTGCCCCTGTCAGGTCCCGCCCCAGGATTTGCAGAACTGAGTGAGGCTGGGGAAGAGGCAGCGGAGGCTCCTGGCATCCGAGGCGGAGGCGGGAGGAGGGGCCGGAGGGGGGCTTGCGAGTTTTACTTCAGACAGCTCGAATGGGAGTTCGAACTCTGACGATCACAGTGTTCTTGTTCCCCGAGTGTGGAAACATCAGGGTGTGGAGACACGTGAACCGTGCCGTGGGCGGCAGCCCACACGGAGCCGCCTGCGTGAGGACCCCGCCGCCCCGGCCGCTTCTGGAGGCTGCACACAGCGCCCGACCACGCCCCTGGCCGCAGGCTGCGCACTGCCCGCAAGGCATCAAGAGTGCACTCTGGGGGCCGCAGGGTCCCCGGCATCTGAGTAATTTGGATTCAAGACGCGGCCTCCCCTCGGAAGTGTGCGGCGCTGCCACCGTCCTTAGCTTACAGTCATGGTGAGGCCGGACGCACCTCCCGCTCCCATCCAGGTGGCCAGGCGTGGCCACGTGTCCCGGGCGTGGCCGGTGGCCCGACGGAGCAATGTGGACGTGGGGGCCAGCAGTGCGGGCGTCCGTGGTGAAGGCGGGGCTGCCAGGCATGTCCGCTCCTGGTGCTGGCCTCTGGGCGGCCAGCATCCTGTCTGCTTGTGCGGGAGAGCCTGAGTGTGTGCCTCCGGCGGCGGGAAGCGCCGCATGTGCGCCGTCAGTCTGCGCCGAGCCCTGCGGGGGCTGGCAGACTCACTGCGGCTCCTGGCGGTGGGGACAGGACGGCAGGACCAGGAGGGGGTAGAAGGGGCTCCTACCACAAGCCGGGGCTCACCCCCGTTTTCGGAGCACTGTGGGCCCTATGTCTGCAGCTGTGTGGTGAGGTGCGGGTCTGCCCTGCTGGCGCTGGCCCCGGGTGGGGCCTGGGTCCTTCCTCACTGGCACAGAGGATGTCGGAGTGTTCGGTTCCCTCCCGGGACACCCACCGGATCTGAAAACGAAGCAGAGCGTGGGCCCCTCCCCAGCTCCCGGCCACTGCACCCCTTCCTCCCCGTGCGCTGGCTGTGGCGTTCTTGCTTCTGCCCCTGTAGGGGATTCCCGGGTAAGGGGATTTCCGTTTCTAGATATGCCTGTTCGCTGGCCGTCGGCCCTCCTGGGCCAGGATGTTTCCTTCACTGACTGCGGTCCTTCAGCTGCTAATCTAATCCACACCGGCCAGGTGCCCCGTGTCCTGCGGTGGCTTCCCGGACACGGCTCGGGTGCTTCCGTGTTTGGAGAAGGCTGTGCTGCTGGGGGCCCCTGGGGTGCCTCTGCAGTCCGCCAGGAATCTAGTTCATCCTTAACAAGTAGACTCAATCCATTCTCCAGCCCTTGTCAAATTCAGCCTTTTGGTCATTGGTACGTAGCCCCACAGCACCACCAGGAGGCCTCCCAGGCCAGGTGGGCTGTGCCCACACTGGCCAGAATATGGGACCTACCAGTGGAGAGCCTGTGGCCCCTGGTGCCCGGCCGTCCTGCCGTCCTAGGTCGTCTTCCCTCTGGAGGTCGAGGGGGTCATGGATGGCAGACCTGATCCGCCACTTAGGACCCGAAAAAAGATACCTGGCTTCTAGCCTCAGTTTCCTCATCTATAAAATGGGAATGGTTGATGGGCTACTATCAGAACTAAACACAGTCCCTCACGAAGAACGTGTGTGACACCCGTAGGGCTGCGGT